GAGGGCACCCTCGCCGCCGGAGGAGCCGCCTGGGGTCATGTAGCGATTGTAGGGGTTTGTGGTCCGACCGAACACATGATTGAGCGTCTCGCCCCACTGCGGAGTGGAGTGGAGAAGGTGAGATGGGGTTTAAAGTGACGACGGGACGTCGTGATCTCGGCACGCACCATCAAGGTCTGGGGGACATTTGTGCGGACGAATGGAACGGCGCCGCATTCGTAGAGGAGCTGGACAAGAACGCAGTCGGACTGCGCGTAGCGGCCGATCCAGCCGGCGTAGCCTGTGTACAACATCATTCAAGACATGATGCGAGGGGTGACAGTGCCCGGGTGATCGTACCCATGATGGTCTCTAGACCCTTTATCGTGAACTGATCCTTGAGCGAGATGGGCAGGCCATGGAGAGGGCCAATCGGTTGGCCGGTTGCATGCAGATGGTCATCGACCTCCTTTGCACGAGCGAGGGCGCGCTCGACGAAGATCTCGGTGAGACAGTTGGTCTGCGAAACGGGACATGCTCAGTGATTTGGCGAGTACGTGCAAGAACGACGCGGACAAGCTGCTGGGCGACGATGGCACGCTTGTAAAATGCGCGGGTGACTTCGACGGAAGACCATTGAGCCGTGCGCAAGTTGAGGAGGAGGAGATCAATGTCGATCGTGTTGGTGATCTCGAGTTCGCGAGGGGTGAGGAGGCCGCACACGGACGGGGTCTGGATGACGGACCTCTCGTCGTCGGGGGGGAGAGGGACGAGCCAGGCGGGGGGGATGGCGTCGAGCTGGAGTTGCTTGCGGGCACTGCAGCGGGTTTGCCAGTCAGACATGGCGATGGCGGACGTGTGGCACTCAAGTGGCAGCTCCCAGGAGGGACTCGCGCCGCCGTCGGCTACACTGCGCAGTGCTGGACTTATCAGTCGGCGGCTTATCGCTGGAGCCATGCCATGGCCCATGGCACACCACCGCAGACACACTCATTTGGACAAGCCACCATGGCGGTCGCTGCTCAATGTGCGGCCGCTGCGTCGACGAGTCGTGCTCGCTCGCTGTGTGCCCCGTTGCTAGCGCAGGAACACGGCCACCAGCAGGGAGTATTCGAGAGTACGGAAACGCAAAAGAAAAAGTCATTAATATATTAGTATTCGCGCTGTTTGGGGCTGTTTGGGCGACGCAGTTGACTGGCGACGGGCGCCTGTGCGGGTCGCTGCTGTCGTTGGCGGTCGCTTTATCTCGTCGTCTGCGCCAGTCCCGAGCGACGGTCGCTCTCCCTCCCTCCCTCCTTCTCTCTCTTTCTCTCTCCTTTTTCTCTTCTCCAAAAGGGTTGCCGCCATTCCGTGGGTCTCATCGCCCCCTTCCCAGGCGTATCTGACCTTTCTTTCTTTTCCCGCTGACGACGTCCACGATCTCCACGACCTATCTCGCTCCCAGGCGAGCCCTCTCCGTCTGTCGCTCCCGCAGAGTCCATGGCCGTTCTTGCCCAACAGGACTGGCATCTACCTAGAGATCATACCATGGACGCGCTGCCTTCTCCCTCTGCTGCCATCAACCCGTCCGTCCCTCGCCAGCGCTCATCTCCCGCAAACGACCAGTCCCAGGCACCCTCCCCCATCTCCCAACAGCAGCCCTATCCATACCCGGTTCAGCAGCAGCAGGCAGGATGGACGTCCCCCCAGCAGTACTACCCCGCTTTCTACGCAAATCAGCAGCCGTATCCTCTCCACGGTCACTCTGCTCATCCTTCTCCCCAGCAAATACATCCCCAGAACCCGTATTACGACCCTGCCAACGCCCAATTTGCACAATGGGCTTATCAGCAGATGATGTTCAACGCTCAACAGGCCCATCAAATGTCCCATACCCCCCCACATATGGCCAGTTCACGCAGTCGGTCCAGTACAGCCAGCTCTGGTGATTACTTCGCGCTTAATCAGGTTCCCGGCTTCAATCCCTTCCCTAGCGGCACTCCCCCGCCTCATCCATCGCAGCTTCCCAACGGCTACTCGCCCACTGACCATCATCCTTCTTCACCGTACCAGGGCTTCCATCCCTATCGCCGTCCACAACGGCATGGCTCAGGCAGTCAGGATCCTTCCCAGAATTCTAACCCAGAATGGCGCTCCAGCACTCAAATGAACTCCTTCCAGCCCCCATACGCGCGTTCCGACGCCGCCGGCTCATCCTCCTCCGTTAACTCGGGATCAAGCAACTCGGGAAGCAACAGACCGCGTGCAAACAGCACGCAAGGGCCGACTGCTGCGGCCAGCAGCAGTGCTGCACCATCCAGTCATATCTATACCAAGTCTACCGGAAGCGGCAGCGGGCATGGGCATGGGCATGGGCACGGTCGCGGCGGAAGTATCACATCTATTAACTCACAGAAATCCACTTCCTCCGCACAGCGGCCTGCCAATCGATCGACGCCTTCATCGTCTGGGACCTCCCCAACACCGCGAGCTGCATCGACTTCCACCGCCCCATCCCCAACTAGCACGCATGGCCCGCCAAATCTCCGCAAGCCTTCCCCGTTGTCGCAGGGCAACTTTACTGCTACAGAAAAGCGCATGTCTCGCGATGATAGCGATCTGGCTGCTATGCTCGAGCCTAATCCCAATTCGCCCGGCGTGCGCAGCGGAGGCTTGAAGGGCCGTTTGCGTCGTGCGCTCTCTCTCGGCGCCAACGCAACCCTGAATGAGGAGGAAGAGGATAGCGACGCGGTCCCGAAGAGTAGCTCGCGCTCCCCAGCCGCTTCAAACGTCTCGCAGGCCGTCCTCAATGATGATGCAGAGTCTACCGCGACGGTGCAGAAGAAAAAATCGCGCTCGCTTTTCAATTCCCGTTTGAACCGCTCTACGGACAACATTTCCCTATCTTCTACAATGTCCTCCGCCTCGATGGTCATTCGTAAGCTCGGCTCCATCGGCAAGTTGACACGGCGGAATTCTCTCGCAGGAATTACCTCGCTATTTAAGGACAAGAAGGATAAGGAGGATGAGGAGAACAGCGGCAAAAAGGGCAAGAAAAAGAAGGGCGAAAAGGGTCCCGTCGCGGAGGCCAGCGTTTCCCACGTTACTGCCGAGCTAGATCGCTCAGACTGGAGTGCAACTGGGGACTTGGCCGGGCTCAGTCCCGCTGCCAGGCTGGCACGGCAGCATACACTCAAGAGTAACGCTGAGGCTGCGGCGAAGGCCAAGGCCGAAGCTGAGGCTCGAGCGGCGGGCGCCGCC